CAGATTCCACACCATCTTAGGATCCAGCGAGGGCTACAGCAATCAAAATATATAAACTCGCCAACAAAGACAAGACCAGACATCAACGCCTAAAATCACCTCAATGCGCATCCAGTGTTCTAGATTCCAGCATGAAAACACAAACGTGAACAACTAAGACAGTATGCCTCCACCCAAAACTAGTAACCCTGTTTATAGCAGGCCGTGAGCAGTGCGAAACAGTCAAAGCACAAGACAAGGACTTCAAAACAGCAGTTATGAATATGTCTGAAGACCTTAAGGAGGATATGAATAAAATCCCTTATTAAGTCTGTGGAACATGGCATGTACTCTCTCATATATGGATTTTAGACATAGATCTGGGGAGTGCCAGCCTTCAATCCTATGGCCAGAGAGTCTGGGAAACAGAAACTTTATTTAGTGGCTGATTGAAGAAGAGGCAGACTCCCTTGGTTAAGTACTGAGCTGAACTCAAGAAAGCCAGTAACAGAGAGGGAGGACTGGTGATCAAAGGGATTAAGACTGGGCTGGTTTAACCCCCAGAAACAGCTGACCAGACAAAGGTTAACTCTTGAATCCCAGGCATCAGCCTGGGAAGCCAGCATGGGACTGATCAAGACCCCCTGAATCTGGGTGTCAGTGAGGAGGCCTAGGGAATCTATTGAGCCTTGGGCAGCAGATCAGTACCCATCCCAAGTATACACATGGACTTTGGACTCCCATAGAACAATGTGAGGTGCACTCTCACCCAGAACTCTTGGGAAAGGGTCTAGGCCCTGCCCTATATGAAATGACACACTATGGACACCCCCATGGAGGGCCTCACCCTCCCTGGGGAAATGAGGGGATAACGGGGGGGGGGGGGGAGGGCTCGGGAGGAAGGGAGGGAATGGGAGAGGGACCTGGAACTGACTTGTGAAGCAACCTTGTTTCTTATCTAAATTTAAACTGGAAAATAAAATTAAAAAAAAAGTCTGTGGAAACACAAAGAGTTGAAAGAAATAAAGAAAACAATTAAAGACATGAAAGTAGGATTTAATAAAAAATAGAACCATGCACAAAAAACAGAACTCAAACTGAAATAAAATTGGAAATAGGAACTTTGGGATGCTGAACAGCTTCAGAGGCAAGTCTCACCAACAGAGTACAACGCATGGAAGAGGAGTCTAGGTGCTGAAGGCAAGGTAAAAGAGATGATCAAAGGAAATGTTAAATCTAAAAACAGTGCAGAAACAAAAGGTCTTGGAAAACAGAGATACTATAAAAAGGTCAAATTTATGAAAAATGGGGCTAGAAGAAGGAGAGAAAACCTGAATCAAAGAAACAGAAAACATTTAAAACATAATCATAGAAGAAAAATTGGACAAAGTGAAGAAGGAGGTGCTTATCAGGATACAAGAAACATACAAAACAAGAAACAGAGAAATTCCTCATGCACATAATAAACCACTAAATGAAAAGAAGGAAGAAAGGGTATAAAAAGCTTCAAGGGGAAAAGACGAAGTGCCGTAAAAAGGCAGGCACATTAGAACAACACCTCACTTCTCAACAGGGACTCTGAAACTCAGAAAGTCCTGGACAGGTTGTTCTACTAATTCTGAGAGACCATAACTCTAAGCCTAGACTATTATACACAGCAAAACTGTCAGTCATAATTGATTGAGGAAGAAAACATTCCAAGATAAAGCCAAATTTAAGCAAGGTCTATCTACCAACCCAGTACTACAGAAGGCACCAGAAGGAAAACTGCAGTCTGAAGAAGCTGACCACACTCAAGAAAACACAAGGAATAAGTAATCCAGACTTATTATGGGAGGAGTCTATACAATAACAACAAAATAACAGGAAGCAGTAAATACCACTCTTTGATAACTCACAGTATTCATGAACTTAATTCTCCAATAAAAAGACACATGCTAAAAGATTTGATCAGAAAACAGGATCCATCTTTCTGCTGCTTCCAAGAAACACACTTCACCATCAAGGATAGAATCACTTCAGAGTAAAAGGATGGGAAAATGTATTCCAAGAAAATAGACCCAAGAAGCAAGCAGATGAGACCATTTTAATATCTGAAAAATAGATTTCAAACCAATGCTTCAGAAGAGATAGGGAAGGACACTACATACTCATCAAAGGAAAAATCCACCATGAGGAAATAGAAATTCTAAATGTTTATGCATCAGTCATAAGGGATACAAGTTCACAAAAGAAACATTACTATAGCTTAAAACATATAATAACCCCCACACCAATAGACAGGTCATCCAAACAAAAACTAAACAGAGAAATTCTGGAGTTAGTGTCATAAATAAAATGGACCTAGCAGATATTTACAGAACACAAAAGAATACACAATCTTCTCAGCACTTTATGGAACTTTTTCCAAAATTTATCTCATACTTGGACACAAAGCAAGTCTCAATAGATATAAGAAAATTGAAATAACATCTTGCATTCACTCTGACCACCATGGATATCAACAACAACAGAAACAACAGAATGCTTACAGAGGCATGGAAACTGAGTAACTCCCTACTGAGTGAAAAAATGGGTCAAGATAGAGAACAAGAAGGAAATAAAAACTTTGGAATTGAGTGAAAAGGACAACAACACACCCAAACCTATTGGACCCGACGAAGGTGGTTCCAAGAGACAAGTTCATAGACCATAGTGCTTACATTAAAAAAAATTGGAGAGATCTCATATTAGAAATGTAATAGCACACCTGAAAGCACTTGAACAAAAAGAAGAAGAAATAATACCCCAAAATAACACACACACACACACACACACACACACACACACACACACACACACACGCAATCAAACTCAGGGTTGAAATCAGTACAGTAGAAACAAATAAACAAAAAGCAATACAAAAAATCAATAAGGCAACGAGTTGGTTCTTTGAGAAAATCAGTAAGATTGCCAAATTCTTAGCCAAATTAATCAACAGTCATGGAGAGAAGATCGACATTAATAAAATCAGAGATGAAACAGTATACATGACAACAGATACTGAGAATATCCAAAGAATAATGAGGACATACTTTAAAAATCTGTACTCCATCAAACTGGAAAACCTCAAAGAAATGAGTGATTTTCTTGATACAGACAAAGTTAAATCAAGACCAGATAGATAACTTAAACACTACCAGACCGTCACAGAAGAATGAACTCCTCAGAATAAAAACTGAAAGAACATTTCCTAATTCTTTTTATGAGGCCACAATTACCCTGATACCTAAACCATACAAAGATACACACACAAAAAATATAGACCAATATCTCATATGAACAGATACAAAAAATTTCATATAATTCTTGCAAACTTTACCCAAGAGCACATTAAAAAGATCTACCATGATCAAGTAGGCTTCATCTCAGACATGCAGTTATGGTTCAACATATGTAAATCAATAAGTGTAACCCACCATATAAAGAGACAGCAAGACAAAAAACTTCATGATCACTCATTAGATACAGAAGAGGCCTTGGACAAAAATCCAACACCCCTTCATAAGGTCTATAATTAATAAATGGGACCTCATGAAGATGAACTTTTATATGGCAAAGGACGTCATTATTCAGACAAAGCTGCAGGCCACAGGAGGGGAAAGATCTTCACCAATTAGACATCCAATAAAGGGTTAGTATCTGAAATGTATAAAGAACTAAAAATACTGGGAAGAAACAAATCAACCAAGGCACAGAACTAAGCAGAGCTCTCAAGGGTTGAAACACAAATGGCTGAGAAATACCTAAAGAAGTGTTTGCCACCCTTAGTCACCAGGTAAATGCAAATCAAAATTGCTTCAAAATTTCATCTTACACCAACCAGAACGGCCAATAAAACAAAAGACAGCCCATGCTGGTGAGGATGTGGGGAAAAGAGAACACTTATCCATTGCTGGTGGGAGTGCAAACCTGTACAGTCACTGTCACTATGGAGATCAGTGTGGTGTTTCCTCAGAAGGTCGGGTGTAGAACTAGCTCAAGATCCAGCTACACTACTCTTGGTCATGTTCCCAAAGGACTCTACATCCTCCTGTAGAGCTACTTGATCACCATGTTCATTGCTGTTTTATTTGAAATAGCCAGAAACTCTTAACAGTGTGGACATCCATCAACTGGTGGTTAACAAAACTGTCGTACAAATACACAATGGAATATTATTAATCTATTAAAAAGTAAAATAAAAGATTAGCAGGAAATGGATGAAGCTAGAAAAATCATCCTGAGTAATGTAACCCAAACTCCCAAAAGCAAATACTGTTATGTTTTCTCGTATCTGTGAATGTTAGCTTTTAAGCAGGCAAACCAGGGCACTCGTGGTCAACACCTTGGAGTGGTACTCCTGTTACAGGCCCTTGTCTTCACACTATGGTATCTGTGAATTTGGCTGTGGAAATGTAATGCAATATCTGCCTTGCTAACAGCTGGCTTATCTGGTCAGCCTCAGCAAAGTTGGGTGGATCATCACTTCATTAATCTGAAATGAGTAAACTGCTTGGGGTTCTTGGTTAGAAGCACTAAAACCAATACCAAACAACGCAGTTTTTAAAATTACTGTGACTACACAGCAGTTTGTTACATAAAGTCAGGAATGCCACTGGATGCCAACTTCTGGCCTCGTGTGTGTTTCTGTCTGTGAGTGTGTTTTGTAATTACCCGTGTGTCTCCACGGAAGGATTTCTTCTGATTTTCTGGTCTCTATCATATGTGAGAAATGTTCATTCCCAGATCCAGAACAACGTGTTAGAAATCCACTTACCTGGAGAAGCCAATCTTCTTTGTGTCACAATTTCCAACCTCTGGAAATTGCTAATTAACCCTCAGGACAACTGGAGCTACCAACAGGACCTAGGAGAGCAGGACTGCACTGCTCAAAGACTTTGTGAAGATATCTCCATGGGCATGAGCTGGCCATGTGGGTATGAAAATGCAACTGACTTCTGGGCATAAATCCAAGAAAATAAAATCAGCATATCAAGAAATACCTGCATACTCGTGTTTATTGAAGCATAATTCACAACAGCTAAGATATAGAGTCAGCCCTCGAACAGGGGAAGGGGATCAAGCTGTGAAGAAAATATCCCCTTCTGAAGGCACACCCAGGTGGCCTTCTTCCTCTAACTAGATCCTAACTCCCAAAGTTTCTACCACCTCCCCATGGATTCTCCAGTGATTAATCCATTCATAAGGGCCGAGGGACCAGATCACATGGTGCAGTTAGGTCCCTCAGAATGCTGCTGCATCAGACACCAAACTTCAGACATATGGGTTTGGGTAGACGTCTAGAACTCAACGAGTAACATTCAAGGCCTACAGGAGACCACGCTGCTACGTTCTCTGAGAGTGGCAGAGTGGTGAAGCGTTATTGTTGTGATCACTTGGCTTGTTACAAAATTTAAAGAGCATTCAGAAAAGTCTGTTTTCTCCCCGCCTCTAAAACACTGTCTAACCATATTTCCTTTCAAGTTCTTCTTTTGTTGTCACATCCTCCATGTTGCTTACTGACGGGTTGTGCCAAGTAGGCTGGGAAGAGAAAGTAAGGCAAAGGACAACTGGAAACACTTCTTCAGCAAGGGACCGCAGCGGCTCATATCTTAAGGGGACTGTGGGCAGGTGTACCCCTGAGATAAAGACACACATTGTTCAGACTCTTAAGAGGCTCGGGGAGAAGTGGCTAACGTCCATGGCCAGTTATAACCACAAGGAGAATCAAGGTCCAACTGAACAAGCAGCAGGGATCCAGGTCAGGCAAGGATCCGGGTCACACATCGAAGTCCGGGGTAGTTTCTGTAAAGAGGAAAATGCAGTGAGGGTGAAATTAGGTCTGGAAAGGTTCATTCCCCTCAAGTAAACTGGCCAGAAAGCAGATCAAGGGCCAGAACAGGAAAGAGTTAATCCACACGCGTAACCCACAATGGTAGGAGAGAGGTCAAAAGCTGGAGCTATAACCAAAGGTACAACAGTTATGGCCCTGTGAGTCACAGACAGTTCAGGTCTGCTTCTGCATCAACAGACAATTGGTACCAGCCTCCCCAAGGATGCCAAAATCCACAGGTGTGAAAGTCTCCCATAAAGTATACAGAAGTTTGCATACAATCTAAGCACATCCTTCTATGTGCTTTAAATCATTTCTAGATTACTTATAACACCGAATGAGATACAACTACTGTATCATGCAGCTGTTGTGCTGCATTATTAAGGGGTTAGAGATAAGGCAAGTCTGTGTGTTCATTACAGGCGTACGTAGCTTTGTTTTTCAGATACTTCTGGATCCATAGATACAGGATGCAGAAAAAAAGATGGTTGGCTGTCTTATCCTGATACACTCACAAAAATCTGCGAGGTACATGGGACAACAGTCTTTTCATCTGTATTTCAGGGTGAAACAATTTTCAGAGGGCACTGTTTTGGGGGCATTAACTGTTCCCCCACATTTTTTTTAAATCAGTTATCAGTTCACTTTAGAGTTAGTTACTTAAAGCAAAGAGATAGATCCACATAGCCACACCCCTATCTTAATTCCCTAGCTGGGCTGTATCCCTACAGCCAGAGTCAGGGGTTACATGTGCATTTTGTCTGTGGCTCCCGCCGGGAGGCCGATGGTTCAGGTCTGGGACCCTGTACTCTTTGGCAAGAAACAAACATTCTCAAAAGAGCTCCCTGTCACCTACCCAGCTCTCTTACATACTCTCTGGAACTAAGGTTTAGGAAGCTTAACAGAGTGAGGTCAAGCTGCCTTCTACAGTTAGCTCAAATTTAGGGCTTGAATATTGGGGGCACCTCAGAGAACTAGCCTGGGATGGAAAGGAAAGACTAACTCATTTAGTTCTGCTGTATGATTTACAAGCCGTTTTGTGGTTTGGAAAACTGTTCTCTTTGACTTACTTTCTTCATGTTTAACATAAAAACATTGATCAACTCCTCTTATTGTTTATGTTCAATAATTGTACTTAAAAAATATATATCCTTGCCCATCACCGACCTCTCTCCCACTCCAAAGAAAAAGAAACCTAGTGCTAGAAGCCTTGGTCTTAGCCCTGGAGGCGCGCACAAATGGCCGCGCACAAACAGCGGTTCTGCAGCCCTGGTGGCATCGCCCTGACCACTAGAGAGCGGCTGCCTTTCTTCCTCCTTCGTCTCTTGGAAGTGCAACCGTAGTCAGTAGGACTTGCCTGAGCAGGTCACTGCCACATCTTCCTTGTGGGTACAGTCGTTATAGCCCCACAGCCTGTGCAGGCAGGACTCCAGGGACGGCTCCTCCCCTGTGCATACAACGTCATCCAGCCAGATGCGGCCAACCCCGGGTCCGTAACTTCTTCTGGCTTCCGAGAGGGGCTTCCCACATCTCAGCTGCCGGCACACCACTTGGTCCTCCTTTTCTCCCCAGCCGTCGTCACAGACAGAGCCCCACGAACCCTTGTGAAGCACCTCCAGCCTCCCAGAGCAGGGGTTGTCTCCTCCAGCCAGCCTCAGCTCAAAGGGATCTGCAGGTTGAAGGACGGAGGCGATGGCGTAAGAGATGAAAGGGAAAGAGACAAAATAAGATTATGTACATGGTTACCAAAACCCCACCAGTAAGTTTGAAACTCTTTACGTGTGTTTTGGTGGCAGCCTCTCCTTTCCTAAGTCTCCTTCCATTTGTAACTTCTGCTGCCAGGTCTGTTTCCCTAACTAGAGTATTTTCACTTTATTTCTAAATATATATATACATACTGTATTCATTAGTATATATCATTTATAGGCACATAATATGTATAAAGGAATTTCTAGTGGTTATTACAAACCAAAGAGCTCAACAGACATACCCTATTTACAGCATTCTGCATCACAGTTCATAGTATGATTGTGCAATGCACAATTTGTGTAGCCCTCTACAAAGGGAGTCATTCTTAAGGGGATTGGCAATCTACACAAACACATAAATTTACAATGGCCTTTCAGTGCACTAGCACTTTTGTAAGTATCGCTTGCCTGGGCTTCCATATTAATGAATAGACCTCGTCTCGGGGTGCGGGATCATTATCTTCCATTACCTTCGCATTCTATCCATGTGTCCTCGCTGTGGGTACAGTGGTTCTGCAAAGGCTTAAAAGGGCAGTCCTGAAGGTTTGCTTCTTGTCCAGAGCATGACATCTGGCCCATCCAGATGTGTCCTTTGCCCTGAGCCATCTTGCTGCAGCCTCTGTGGGTCTGGAGTGCCCGCCCACACCCCAGCTGCCTGCAAACCACCTTCGAGGCCCGTAAGTTCCAGCCTGCTTTGCACACACTGCTCCACTGCACCTGGTGTAGCAGCTCCACTCGGCCCTGGCAGTGCCCCCGGCCGTCTACGAGCCGCACATTCTCTGGGCTGAAAGGGGCATCTGCGTCGGGAAAGAAAAGAAGGAACAGTGTCTGTCCCATACCAGAACGAGGGCTCTCAGAAAAGGGAGTCCGATTACACATGGCTCAGTTCTTGGTGGTCAGGACAAGGCTACTGGAGTCGTAAGCGCCACCTAGTGGATGGTGGCAAGGGGATGAAGTGACGGTTTTGTGGTCCCCAGGTAAATCATAATCATTTCTGTAGCATTTTAGTTTCTCAAATTATTTCCATATTCGATTTCTTATTGCTCCTTACAAGAGACATTTAAATTATATTAACCAATATATTTAAATATCAATAAATACATACATCAACATGAAATGCCAAAATATTTTGACTTGATGTTAGAATAAATCAAGTATTCCAGGCTAATGTTTCCAAACCCTGGCTTTCCTAAAAAATAGGAGACTTTAACATGAGGGGACAGGGGGCTTGTCTTTTCTTTAATGGTAAATCCTTTAAAAAGGAGACAAAAAGAAGGGCACAGAGCCAGGCTTGCAGTGACGTCACAGTCTCTGGAGAAAGCATGCAATACTGTTAATTCATAGGAAGCCAATTATGTAGAACAGTGAAGGAACACATGACATTGTGTCCATTTATTTGTGCAACTCCGTTGGCTGCACATTTATATGCCTGTGTCCATCTGTCTCCGAGACTGCTTTGGTTTCCTGCCAGCACCTCCTGTCTCCCCAGCTAAGCTGACAGACAGAACTGAAATGCTCACAAGAGCGCATATGAAGTCCCATGTGCTCTTCCACAGCTATATCCCAGCTCCAGACATAGGCATTGAACAAGTGTTCAGCCGCTGATGGATCTGTGTGTTTTGTTTGCATGCATGTGAATAAGAGAAACGGGACCTCATAGCTAACTGGAAACTAAGAAAGAAGCAATATGGGTAATATTTTATCCAAGATTCACAGTCAATCAAATGTGAAGGATGATGCCATCATTCACTGTAGCACTGTCCATGACAGGAAAGAAAGACCAACAGAATGGTCACATTGGCTACAGGCTACTGGAAGATGGTCCTTGAGTCCTCTATACTTACCCTCACACCGTGCCCCAGCATCTTCTGAATGTGGGCAATTAAAAACGTCTTCATTTTGCTCACATTCAGACAATGCGTCTTCCATCCCATTGCAGTTGACGTCTTGAATAAGAACTCGTTGGTTTTCTGGTGCTGCTGGCTTATATAATGTACCACTTAGGGTTTTGTTGGCTGCTCCACAATTCAGCTCCCGGCATACCACAGCCACATCAGTCAAGTCCCAGCCGTCATCACATACAGTCCCCCACTGGCCATTGAGCTCCAGCTCTACTCGCCCTTCGCAGCGGTGGGGACCTCCTATTAGCCGCACTTTGGGTGGAGACTCTGCAAAGAGACGAGATACTAGCCAGAGGCCTCAGAGAAGCAAAAGTGTGCTTGGGGTTATAAACAGTCATTTTGGGTCCATATACCGTTGACAGACAGCATGGGGAAATTGTAGTCAGACTAGGAGAGGTAAAGGAACTTCAGGATATGTTTATGATCTTAATCGTACACATCTAAGAAATGCCATTTCAAGACATACATGTACTGATATCCTTTATCAGATTGTTGATGACAAAGAAGCTGGCTGAAGACTTGGCAGAGATTTTAGACCCTCTAGTGGTCAGAATGAGAGGACCAGTAAATGTCTACTCTCAATTTCATAGATGAGGAAATCTCTCCTCCTAGAAGCGATGCCTATCACTATGGGCCCCAGCCCAGAACAAAAGAGTAAGGATGATGTTTTTGTAATTCTTAAACCGCGCGGTCCTTTGGAGAATCCCATCCATTTGCAAGGACCTGTGGAAACAATACTGCAAACTCCTGTGTTGATCTTAGGGAGCTCATGGACTTCAGGCTTCTCTAACCTTTGCTATGCTTAATCCTGTGGTAACTCTTAGTTTTGCTTTGTTAGTCGTGATTATGCCTGAGTTTACCGGGAACAAAAGCCTCCACAGAAAAATTAAATTTCTCTGATCTGCTACAGAAACCAGTTTCTCTGGTTGCCCCTGGCTGCCTCTGCAGTCACTCCGAGTAAGCAGGAGGAACTCACTAAGGTTAATGATTAGTGCTTATTTAATTCCAAAAAGAGAAAGATATACTCCAAGGAACGTAAGAATCAAGAAAAGGGTTTCTTAAAAGATGACATTAAAAACCTTATAGGAACACAGAAAGGAAAAGAGATAGCATGTGAGAGGTCAGTCATCTCCCTGGCACCAAGACATGAACACTCAGACACTTTTCCAATATCGAAGTATCAATAAAGGAATCTAAAACTCCCAGTTCTCTTAAAAGGGTAGCATGTGCAGAAATTGTCAAGAAGAATGGAAGTTTAGTCCCAATAGTTAAAGAGTTAGGTATGAATCATTACTATTTTGAGAACTTATAAATAATTATTATAAGTGCAATCCATGTAATAAAAGTGATAATAAAAGTGACATGCAGGCCAGGCGTTGGTGGCGCACGCCTTTAATCCCAGCACTCGGGAGGCAGAGGCAGGCGGATCTCTGTGAGTTCGAGGCCAGCCTGGTCTACAGAGCGAGTGCCAGGACAGCCTCCAAAACTACACAGAGAAACCCTGTCTCAAAAAAACCAAAAAAAAAAAAAGTGACATGCAGATTACTCAGAAACTGGTATATACCTGAAAAATGATATCCTCAACATCCCAATATACTCAGCTGATTTCATATTGTTAAGGACTAATCACAGGGCTTAAATCTCTTACTTTGTAACCAAAGTTTGTTGCTGGCTAGGGTATAATATGAATAAGATGTACCTCGCTAGATATAAACATTTGGTTTGCCATATAATGATATGAGGTAAAGGTCAATGACATCCAGGAAGTAGGAAAGAAGAAGAGAAACTAAAATGACAATGATTCTTGGAAAATGATAATGGGGGGGTTGGGGGGAGGGCATGGGAGAAGGGGAGGGAGAGGGACCTGGAACTGACTTGTGAAGCAACCCTGTTTCTTATCTAAATTTAAACTGAAAAATAAATAAAAAAAGAATGAAATTGCTAGATCTTGAGGTAGAAAAAAAAAGAGAAATGCTTTGAAACTGCTTATGCCTGAATGCATTGGAACTTGTATAAATAGAAACGGCCTGAGCTAGTTAGGGTGATCAGTTTGAAAGACAACCTGTGGTCAGACTCCTCATTTTTGCAGACTTCACACATCCGTTCTGTGGCACAAGAACCCCACTGGAGCTGGACCCTGGCATTTTATGACTTTCTCTTGTGGTAGTTGGACTGAGGTAGTAGCGATACATTTTCTTCTGTTTACTCTCTTCTCACCTCTCTCTCCTCTATATTCCCCTTCCCCTTCTATCTCCTCCTCCTCTTTCTCTTTCCTTCTCTTGCTATTTCTTACAATATTATCCCAGTCCAAAAACCTAGCTCAAAAGAAGTTGACAAGGGAAGAGTCAGAGCTTCAAATGGTTAGACCCCAGTGGTTTGACCAGAGGCCAACAGGAAAGAGGAAGGCACTTGGGAGCCTCCCCATGGGTTCTGAGGAGTCAAGTACTTAGTTGTATTTCTTTATTAAAACCCTGTGTATGGAAGAAAACAAACAAATTCTCTCCCATCCACCGGGAAATAGGGCAGAGAAGGCAGTTAGGGAAGCTGAAGACAAGCCTATCAGACAATGTTTATGTACTCAGAGAAGGATGAGGAACAAGATGGCATTTATTCCTCTTGAGAGATTTTATTACAGCTCAAAACAGTCTTGCCAAATCTGCTGTAGCCTCAGAGTAGTATAGAAGACAACTTAATTAATAACAACTTCATTAATGGCAAAGTCAACCAAGAGGTCAAATGTGTTAGAGAAGACCACATCTGGTCTGATGGTCTATGGCTAGTCCTGAGATTGACACCTTAATATGGGCCACCATGATTATCCCTGAGGTTTGGGTTTCCCACTGTGTACTGTGTCTCAACCTTTCACAAGCTCTCCAGACCTGGAACCCACTCAGGGACAGCAGTTGACTAAGACCAGAGTGGTCTGCCTAATTTAAGTTTTATTTGGAAATTTATGTTTTGTCTACTGGCTCATTTTAATTTTTCAGGGAGAAAAGCAGTATCATGAATTAAAAGCACGACTATAAATTAAAATGTAACCATTAAAAACTAAGAAAAGATAAAAAGTGGAATTAGGCTAGATGTCTATCGACAGAACAATGGAGAATGAAATGTGGTACATATACACATTGGAGTTTTACTTGCTTTGAAGAAAAATGAAATTACAAGGTCTGCTGGAAAATGGATGTATCTGGAAAATATCATACTGAGGTAACCCAGATCCAGGAAGATGAGCATCACAAGTTCTCTCTCTAGAAGAAAATGATTAGGTTTGTATGTTTAATTTGAATGTTTATGAAGAAACCTGGAAAGGCCCATGAGAGGGGAAGAGGTCTTAATGAGTGAGGGGATAGGATAAAATAAAAGTAGAGAAATAGTAAAAATTATAGAGGTTAAGGGTTTAAGTAGGGTTAGGAGCTTGAAGACGGAGAAGAGGAAAAGATGGAGTAAGTTATCTAAAACCATTATGGGAACCCACTACTTTAAGGATAACTAAAAATACAATTTTTTTGAAAGAAGAATGAATTTGAATAAGTTACTGTGCATATGTTCATAATGTTTCTCACTAGAAGACATGAAAATCTCATTGTCCAGTCTGACATACCTCTTGTGAGTTATTGGCTAGGAAGGGCCCAACAGCTCCATAAACAATACAAGCATTGTCATTGCCCTTGGTTACTGACTATAAGCAGATGTTAATATACTATTGCTGAAGACACATCATATTTTGGCTGTATGCTGTAGCAAAATCAAGCTGGAAATGACCTGAAAATTTCCTCCCTGATACCTTTCATAGTGCCAAAAGGCACTGCTCAGGCTTCCGGAGGGAGAAAAATCACCACCTAGTGGTGAGCCGTGCCTTCCATAACTGACTTTCCAGGAAAAATATGCCAACTAGTGCAATATAGTGGCATGAGAGTTATGCTGGTAATCGACTGTTTTGGATTGTATTTGAGGCCTGCTTCACAGAGGGAATTCATGCTTGGCGATGTAAGCCTTATCAAACATCCATGGAGAGGTCATAGGTCATGGAGGGGTAACCTATTGCTATTGTCTTAATAAATGACATGTTGTCAAACTGCCTTGCAAATATTTGTGTTTGTGCATGTATGTTAGTGCTTTCTTCAGCGTTGGCCAGAGAATCTTCTCACTGCAGTGGGCATCCATTGATGAAAAGATTCACAGCTGGCCAGAGTACTGAGAAAACGTGACCATTGAATGAGCCGCCTATGTCCGCACCTCAGGGAGCATGGTGGGGAAGGAGAAGGAAGGAATGAAGAGGTACGGATGGGGAGGAGTGTTGTGAAATGTTGTCTTCTGAACACCGTGCAGCAATTTCACCAACTCATGGCGGCTACAAGGTCAAGCCAACAGGGTCAGCTGACAGTCCAATCGGCAGCACCAACTGCACTCAGTGCGCTTGTTAGTTAGTTAGTTAGTTTGGTTGGTTTTGCTCTAAGGAGAGGGCATGAAGGGGGAAGAGGAACTTGTTGAGGGTGTCTGGGGGAAGTAGGAGGGAGAAACTGAGAATGGCTTTTATCAAGATACATTGTTCACATGTATGGAATTGTCAAGAAATGACGGATGCTCTGTTATTTGGAAAAGAAAACTAAGGAAGTCCCCATCGTTGTGAATTTGAGTTTCAAGTTTGTGTGCCTGGATACAGATATAAATCAAGAGAGTCATGTGGAGGTAATTTTTGGGTCATTGGATGGAATATTAGAATCTGGGTTAGCATTATCTTGCAGATCAGGAAAAGCTTGCTATCAGGATCATGTGTGGGCTAACTTCATTTTGGACTGTAAAATTCTTGTTCTAACAAATTTTTATTTTATTTTATTTTTTAATGGAGTAGAAGTGTAGAGAGCAGTTTCCAGGAAAGATGACTTAAGCCAAGAGTTCATGGAGAATGAGTAGGAAGGAATTGACTGGTGATAATCGACTTGAGGAAACTCAGCTTGAGGGAAGAGACAGAGAGGGCAACTGCATTCTTAGGGGTGTCCTGGCAGAACACACACACACACACACACACACACACACACACACACACACCACACCAACATCCTTGGTGTGAGGAGACTACAAATAGAGCAGGAGGCTAAGAGAAAGAGCTCAAGTGACCTCAGCACCTGTGTAGGGACCCAGGAGCAGCGCCCTCACACATCAATGTTGCATCTATGTGGCGGGATCTCACTAGAATAATGTGTGGTGTAGTGCGAATCATAAAAACCCAGAGACAGACATTGGGGTTAAAGCTGAAGACTAGAGAAACAAAGTGGTCAACCACTAGGGAGTTCTCACGTCTACCAATGCTCAGACTGAAAGGGCGAGCCTGTTCTCATATTGCATCTCCAGACTGCACTGCTCCTCACACTGCTCAGACTGCCCTGAGCTCCTGTCTCCTCCTGCCTTGTATTCCTCTCCAGTGCTGGGACTAAAGGAGTGGATCCCAAGTGCTGCGATCACCTTTGTGTGAGCTCCGTTTCTCTTTTAGACTGGATCAATTTCATCTGTCTCATGGCAGTCTTGAGTTAACAGAGATCTGTCTGCCTCTGTCTCCCTAGTGCTAGGATTAAAGGTGTGTGCCACCACTGCCTTGTCTCTATGGCTAACTTAGTGTGGCTAGCTTTGCCCTCTGATCTTCAGGAAAGCTTTATTTGTTAGATCATAAACAAAACATCACCACAGAATGGAGTTGTCTCTGGTCAAGCCTCTACCATCCAGCAAGAGAGAGCGTGGAGGGGTAGTGTAAAGGTAACCGAAAGCGTAGTCTGCGGCTCTTCCCCTCCCCTTCCCTCCCCTCCCCTCCCACTTCCCTTCTCTGTCCTGGGCAGCATTACGCTCACCATTGTGCAGGCTCCTGGAGGAGGCAGATGGTGCGGGCTGAACGTCAGTCTCCCTTTTGCTGGTGGAGCCACATACTGCACAGGGGAAGCCCTGCTACCCAAATCTGCCGGTAAGGCTGAAGCAAACGTGGGCCGCAGAATCCAGAAAGAGCAAAGGAGTCTCTCTCTCTCTCCTGGGCAAGGCCACAAAAGGGCCTGATGCGAAGACCTGTCTGTCCTGTGTGGATGCTGCATGAGCTTCTAGGGCCATAGAGGAGGACCCTTGGCGGGATCCCTGAACCCATTTAGACTCTGGAGGTGGGAATCCATCCACACGAGGCCGGTGGGTTGGCACAGACAATAAAGGACGGTTGCTTGGCCTGGTTTGAATCACTTCACAGCCCAGGAAGCTACAGCTATTCTTCAGTCCTAAACCTAGAGGCTTCTCTCTTGAGAACTCAACAAAGAAACAGACAAACAAATACATCCTTACTTGAGAGGCAGGATCCAATGAAAATGGCCGAGATGGCTGAGGGAAGAAAGAAAGTAAAACGGAAGGAAGGTCAGAGTCAATTTCCAATTATTCAAACCACCCACGTTTAGAAGGCCCAGGGAGCACGGGAGACACATAGCCTCCAAGGGCGGCCCTGTCGTGGCCTTCTCCTGGCAGCAGCCTCAAAGGACGCCACGGGAGTCACAGAGGTCAACTCTAGTGGATTAGTTGTCTTAGTTGCTCTTGTCTGTACCTTCAGCTCTGCCTTGGGCCCAGCCAGGCAGCATCCACTACGTCATTTACTCTGACTGACTGCGGCCGCCTCGCGCGGGAGTGTGGTGATGAGTGTTTTGTGTGGTTGGACACTCTGCCACCTTCTTCACACTGTGAAGCCCTGTAACCCTCAATTGCCCGTGAAGCTAAGCATTTTCAATTATGTGATTTGCCCACCGCGTAAGTGATAGGGTTTTCCTGAAAGAACAAGTGTCTTTGGAGCAGCCTAGAGTTTCAAACAGCTCAGTGATTAATCTTCAAAAACTTCTTTCTATAAATAGCTTCCCAAGAACCTCTTCTCTCTCTCTCTCTCTCTCTCTCTCTCTCTCTCTCTCTCTCTCTCTCTCTCTCTCTCTCTCTCTCTCTCTCTCTCCTCTCCCTTCCTTTCTCTTTTTTCTTTTTTTTAAAGAAGGGTTTCTCAGTTACTCTTGGTGTCCTAGACCTCACTTTGCAAACCAGGCTGGCCTTGAACTCAGAGACTGGCCTACCTCTGCCTCCCAAGTGCTGGGATTAAATGTGTATATATAATTAAATGAGGGCAAGGGAGCCAGACCAGGGCCATGACAGGTTTCTAATGACCGCTGCCAGGGACCAGGCCTTAGTATCAGTTCACTGGAACCAGCTGCAGCTGAGCAAGCAGTTCTTGGGAAAGCTGCAACCCGGGGGCAACCAATCAGAGGGCAGTTCACAGCCTTGTGCAAGCTTAAGAGAACTAAAAATAGTCTCTCCCACCCTGCAGCTGAAAAGACCCTAACCGGGTACTAAACCCCTAACCAATCCTGTAGTAACCAGTAAACTTTTTGTTTAAACCCACCAATCAACCCCCAGACTAACCTCCCCTCCCTGGAATTCCTCTAGTCCAGCCTCTCTCGTTGTTGCCATGGGGATAACAAAGTGCTTTTGCTAACAGCATATGTGACTGGTGTTCTCTTATGGGGACTTCTCTCGTACCTTAACATGTGCCGCCATGCCCGGAGGGGCCTCTTATTCTTAATCTTCAGTCAGAGACTGAGCCCTGTGTGCCACAATGCCTAAGGCTCAGTCATACTATGTGTATACAGTGCGTAAGCTCCCACACAACACAGGAGACATTAGAAGCAAAGGGAGTGTGCCGGGCTGACACACAGGAGCTGAAGGAACTGGCTTGGAGCTGCTGAACACCATTGACAGGAGGAATAAGTGCAGGTGGCAGAGATCTGAAGGCCTTTGTGAAGGCGAGACTAGTTGTTGCTCGTTTCCACTGAGATATAGAGATGTTTAAGACATAGTCAGGTCCCTTCACTGGACATATATGTCTGAAAGTGAAAGAACAGTGTGGACTTTGGCAATATTCTCAGTAATCAAGACACTAAAAATGCATGTGACTTACTAGGGTAGCAGATCACATATTAATCACATTATTAAAAGGTTTCTAGTAGGACATGAGCTTGTAATCCTAGCAGTGGACAGAGACAGGAGACTCCTCAGTGCTCACTGGCTAACCACCCTAGACAAACTGGCCAGCTTCAGTCTCAAAATAAGATTGTCCAACAACATAGTGTTTTCCTCTGTTAAACATAGGCACAACACACAAAATCCTCATAAAAACTTCTGGAGAATGTAACATCTTTACTTCATAGTAAAGACAGCAAACTTCAAAGAAGTATGGTAACTCACAAATTCAGTTAAGAGTCATGGCTAAAATACATGTTTCTTTGTATCCAAAACTCCAGATTATCCAATATCTAGATAATTCTCAAGCTTCCTAATGCTGTGACCCTTTAATACAGTTCCTTGTATTATCTTTGCTGCTGATTCACAACTGTAATTTTGCTATTATTGTGAATCATATCATAAATGTCTGTGTTTTCCAATGGTCTTATCTGACCTCTGTGAAAGGGCTGTTCCACCCCAAAGGTTGGGAGAGAATTCCTGAGCTAGACTGACCTTGGGAAACTTAGAGAAACGCGTGAAACACCTATCATAGGACACTAGACTAATACATAAATGAAAGGTGACTGTTTTGCATCTCAACTTCCTTTTTTCCTTTTAAAAAATGAAGTCCTTTTTAAAAAGTATTGAGGAAAGGAGGTGGATGGAATTTTGTTACAGAAAGACAATACCCCAAGGGGTAAGTGAGCTACTCAAGAAAATCCCCACTTGACAGCTGTACTTCTCCCTTACTCTATCTGACTGGTACCCAACATCCAGTCATCCCGCTTAGTAAAAGTACATTTAAGGGAATGTGTGTACGAGGAAATGTGTGCAAGGTTGTGTAAATATAGGGAAATAGACAAAAACGTGACTATTAAGGCAAACTCCAAGCATGGATTTAGGAGTTTTTTAAGCTTTAGAACAAGTTACCATTTATTAGAAGCCATATATCTGAATCAGGATTGGAGACTGCCCTCCTGGTGAAGTTTCCAGAAAGCCCTGAAGTCTAGACAAACGGGAGCAGAGGCACTCACCGAGCAAGTTGAAGAGCAGAGCCATGAGGCCGGCAGCTGAGGGTGGTGTGCTGAGTGAGGCTGGGTGAAGGTCTCAGGCAGCAATGTTTGGCTTGAATGCTAGGGGAAGGAAGAGACACGTCCTGAGGGCAGCAGGAGCTTTATCAAATGGCCCAGAGCCAATGGGCCCGGGGGATGGATGACAGATATGCTGAGTTCAGAGATGATGGAGACAGATTCGCTGAGTTCAGCAAGCCTAGAGGAATGGAGGTGACTGAGAGCCACTAAGATCCTGAAGAAAGGGGGTGTTATTGTCGTGCCTTCATTGTACTGAAAGCCTCGTTCAACCTGTTACTGCTTCATCTCCTCCTACGTGAAAATGAGCTCTCCTAAGGGAAGGTAGGTGCCCAAGTATGGTCCTCTTGCGTTAGGAGTCTAGACCATAAGTAGCCTCCAAAGGTGAGGTCTGTGGGGCAAGTCAGTCAATTCGAATGACTTGACTTCTGAATGAAGCACCTAGGGAACACAGTCACCAGAGGCGAAAGAATAAATGTCAACATACTCTTAAAGACCTATCCCATGATCCATAATCCATAATCCGTGCCTGCGTGTTTACCTCTGCTGTTAGGGCAGGCTTTTCTGCCTTCAACCAGCTTTCCCAGGTGCTGAACAGAAGAAGGCCTAATGCACAGCCTGCTCTTCTAGGCTTTGCTGGTTGTGCCTGACTTGGGACTTGGATGGTCACAGGCACCTGTAGTGATGGACAGATATCCTTTGCAGGACTCAGATGGCCTTCCAGTGTAAATTATGAAGGAAACAAACTGAGTCTCGTATTCCTTGGGATCCTCAGCCCTCTGTCTTCTTTACCTGCCCTTCAGGAGCTATCAGATGAATTTAGTGGACACACAGTGTCACACATGAACACAACCATCACTCTTTCTAGCACAGGACATATTCCCTGATGATGCGATATCTTACGCCACTTAGCATGAGACTTGGATCAATGTAGGGTTTATTCTTAATATTGTATTTCTTTGTTTACTTGTTTGAAAAATTATAAAAGAAGGTAATAGTGTGAGGAGATTCAGGATGGGAAGCTGACCCATAGTTCAGGGTTCCCTTCAGATGTGAAGTTTATTAAAAAGAGAAGACTTTGGGGCCGCCCTGGGGCCTGGAGGTGGAAGGGAGAACATTAGACAGTACAATATGGAGATCTAAAATGATCTTTAAGGGAAGGAGAGGTTTCCCTTTAAAACTTGGAGAGGAATTCCATTGTGAGTGGGATTGAGGGGCCACACTAAGAGGACACGGTGGGAGGAGGCCAAAGGAGACTTCAGAGAGCCTCCCTGAGAAAACCATCCCAAGACACAGGAAAGGCCTAATGTCATAACCTCTACCTTACCTAATGTCATAACCTCTACCTTACCTAATGTCATAACCTCTACCTTACCTAATGTCATCACCTCTACCTTACCTAATGTCATCACCTCTACCTTACCTAATGTCATAACCTCTACCTTACCTAATGTCATAACCTCTACCTTACCTAATGTCATAACCTCTACCTTACCTAATGTCATAACCTCTACCTTACCTAATGTCATCACCTCTTAGGGGTGGCAGGGAGTTCTACCTTACCTAATGTCATAACCTCTTAGGGGTGGCAGGGAGTTCTACCTTACCTAATGTCATCACCTCTTAGGGGTGGCAGGGAGTTCTACCTTACCTAATGTCATAACCTCTTAGGGGTGGCAGGGAGTTCTACCTTACCTAATGTCATAACCTCTTAGGGGTGGCAGGGAGTTCTACCTTACCTAATGTCATAACCTCTTAGGGGTGGCAGGGAGTTCTACCTCACCTGATTTGATTCAACAGAGCATGTGTGACAAAGAGCATGGAGAGCTAAGGAGTCACAGCACACTGTTTCTTAACTGTCCCAGAGAGCTCTGCAAGGTGTCACACGATGCAGGCTTTGGGGTCTGGTCTAAAGGTGCAGGCCCATATCCTAGCAATTTCTTTCTTCAGAAGAAGAAAGTGAGCGATAGTGTGCTGGATGGGGGGGGTGACCGGGTGAATGGGGGCTGCCTTGGAATACCGAAACAGTAACTCTAATAACTGCAGCAACACATAAAATCTGTGTGAGAGAGGGAAGTAGAGCTTTGGGGACACAATGTAGGAAATGACTGCTTCTCCTTGGGGCTATTCAAGGAAGCCATCACAGAGGTGGTGACATTTGACCAGGACTTAAGAAGTGATTACACGGGCGTTGTCATGAGAAAAGTTTGGCTGAGCACGTGCAAACAGATGCACAGTTGTCCATTTACAGAAAAACAGGTAGCAGCGGGGGTGGCAGGGTGGCGGCAGTGGTCAACATTCTATGGCCATTGGGTCAGACTGTAACTAAAATGCTCTGCCTTCTCTTCCTTCCTTTAGAACCCTGACACGAACAGCAGTTTACCCTGGAGAACACAGACTTGTGATTGAGGAATATATTTCACATACGAAATTAAGTAAAAGAAGAGTAGGGAGGGTAAAAAAGACAAAATATTTTCTCAATAAAATACCTTATTAACAGAGTCAAGAACACAAGAAAGGAAACACAAGCTTGTCAGTCACCAGGGACATTATTTCATAGGACATAAGCCGCCACTACGGTATTATGCATCCATTGTGGAATTATTTCCTCAAGCTTAACCGCTCATTACCGTCCTAATCAGATCAGGCAGAATCACCCACAAGAGGCCCTTAACAAGATCGGCCTGTGTACGTTCTCTAAGAGAGGCGGGAGAGGGAAGATGGTTAGGGTCTCATCCGAGGACACAGCAACTACCTCCTCCTGTGTCCCCATCCCAGTAGACACAATTCTGCCCCAGCTGCAAACGGTCTCCACAGGTAGGAGTTTTTACGGGAGGAGGAAAGTTGACTGAGAGTGGGAGAGACTCCGCCATCCACACAGTTGGAAAGATGTGGCCATGGGCTGGAGTATGACTTCTCAGTGATACAACTATTTTGGGGTTACTCATGCCAAATCAACTTGCTGCCTCAGTGGGTTGGATTTGGGTGGGATTGTTACTTTGATGTGTTGGCTGGTGCCCTGTGTGGGGTAAGACATCAGTTCACATCTCTCCAGGAAAAATCCCTACAATAGCATTTTAGAGTATGTATTCTGGTTTCAGCATGGAAGAACTGGAAGGGACAAAGACTCCCTAAGAGAACACTGGAATGGAATGTTGTGACCCATGCCTGTAGTACTAGCATGCCAGAGGCTGGGATACGTAGTGACACAGTCTCAGAGGGAGACAGGAGGGGGAGAGAGGGAGAGAGCGCTCACTGGACCCCTGAACTAGCCCAAGGGAAGAGAATGGGAACAGAATGCACAGTGTTTAGAGCAGAGGTCAAGATGGGTTGAACGTTTGTCTTAAGTCTGCAAGGCTGTGTTGGGCTGGGAGCTGTAGAAAGTCATAAAGTCTGGAATTATTTACTTAGTTTTCTTCTACGAGTCTCAGTGTTATGTGGATGTGGACCACATGTGCTGGTGTCCCAGGAGGCCAAAAGAGGACACTGGATTTCCTAGAACTAAAGTCACAGAAGGTTTTGAGCCTCTTTGTGGATGCTGGAAACCAAACCTGGGTCCTCTGCAAGAGCAGTCACGGTTGGCCATGGTTCTTAGCTGCTGATTCATACCCCAACCTTCTGTATTATTATTTCTTTAAATTTTTATTTTTAGACAATGTCTCACTCTGCAGCCAGCTTGGCGCTTACAGTGTAACCAAGGCTGGGGCCTCAGACTCCTGATAATCCTCCTGGATCAACTTTTGAGTGCTGGGATTATAGACAGACATTACTACACTTGGCTAGAGAAACTTTTTTTAATTTACAAGAAAAAAACAACTGAAGAGAAAATAGGTTGTCTTGGTTCATACCACAACCAAGGGGCCTACTAATAAACACTCTATTACTTACATTCTTTTTCATCATTTGAGAATTTCATACATGCCCATAATGTGTTTAATCAAATCTCCCTGCAACTCCCTCCTCTCCCATTTCCCCAGCCACTTTAACCTCCGAAATCCCTGTGGCCCGTTTCTGAGCCCACTGAATCCACTTAGTGCTGTCTGTGTGCATCTATTGGAGCCTGAGTGGCCTCTCAGAGAACACACTCCTGAGTAGAACTGACTGACCTTCCCCCATTAGCCATGGATTGCAATAGCTCCTCAGTTAAGCTGAGAACTTCATGAGCCCCTTCTCCATCCACAACGAGATCTTGGCTGGCTTGGCGCTGTGTAGGCCTTATTCATGCTGTCACGGATGCTGTGAGTTTATGTGTGCAACATTCCTGTCAGATCCAGCCAATACTCTTCCACTGCAGAATTCAATCACTGGCTCTCATAATCTTTCTTACCCCCCCCCAAATGATAACTTATGACTAGTCATGATCCTTGCTCTCTTATCTAATTTATTTTAGTCGTAGGGGAAGGGAAGCATGCGCGCGTGAGTGTATTTTGCCTGTAGAAGAAAGGGGTTCCTCTGGAGCAGATGACGATGGTTGTGAGCCACCTGATGTGGATGCTGGGAAGCTCAAGTGAGAAAATGCCCCCAACCGGACTGGCCTGGGGTGCATTGCCTTGATTGATGGCTGATGCGAGTGGACCTACTCCACCAGGAGTGGGGTGTGCAGCTGTGGATGGGTGGTACAAGAAAACAGACCGAGCAATGATGAGGAGCAGGCCAGCAAGCAGCACCCCCATGGCCTCTGCATCAGCTCGAGCAAGCCAGCAAGCAGCACCCCCATGGCCTCTGCATCAGCTCGAGCAAGCCAGCAAGCAGCACCCCCATGGCCTCTGCATCAGCTCGAGCAAGCCAGCAAGCAGCACCCCCATGGCCTCTGCATCAGCTCCTGACCAGGTTCCTGCCCTGACGTCCCGCGGTGATAGATTGTAATGAGGAACTGTAGGCTGAAATAAACTCTTTCCTCCACAGGTTGCTGTTGGTTGTAGTGTTTTATCACAGCAATAGAAACCCACTTACAAGAATGATACTATCAGGTGCTCTCCGAGGGACTGTGACCTACATAACCATGGATTCTTGACCTAATTAAACTCTCAGGCATGAGCTCTGTCTTGTAGAACAGGCCTTAAATTCAATCAGAA